CAGAGAGACTGGATCGATTGGTTCAGACGCTGGCCAACGAGGCTCCAGGAAAGGTCAACAAGCTGATGCACGAACTCCGTGTGCCCCAAGAGGTGGCTATGGACATTATGAAACTGTCTCTGTTCGACGTCATCCTCTATGTTGATGACAGCGGCTCCATCGAATTCGAAGAGCGCGGCGTCAGAAAGGAGCAGCTGGTGCAGATCATTGAAATTGTTGCTGCTGCTGCGTCTACTTTCGATGAAGATGGCATCTCGGTACGGTTCATGAACAATGCGGAGCAGGGAGATGGAATCCGCAACGCAGAGGATGTTGGCCGCCTTGTTTCGCGCGTCCGCTTCCAAGGCCTTACTCCCCTGGGAACCAGCTTGCGCAACAAGGTTCTCGATCCCATGGTTGTGGGCCCGGCCAGAGCAGGTCGCCTGCAGAAGCCAGTTCTTGTCATTACCATCACAGATGGACAACCCGCCGGAGAGCCCCTTGATAGCGTCTCTAGCTCTATCGGCTACGCCGTGGGCGAGGTCGCTCGGACTCAATATGGACAGGGTGCCGTTTCTTTCCAATTCTCGCAGGTGGGCAATGACACCAAGGCTCGGGATTTCCTCGCCTCGCTGGACGAAGACCCGAGAATTGGCTCGTTGATTGATTGCACTTCCAGTAAGTCCACTTACGCTAGTAGAGCCCTTTGAGCATAACAGGTTTACTGATGTTGTCAACAGACTTTGAGGTTGAACAGGATGAAATGTCACGCGCTGTGCCACCCGTGTACTTGACTCGTGAACTCTGGGTATGTTCCAATTCACACATCACACTGCAATTTATTAACTATTCTAGTGCGCTAAATTGATGCTTGGGGCTATTGATTCCTCGTACGATACCAAAGATGAGAAGGCGGCTGGCAGAGCTGGTGGAGCCGGTGCTCCCCCGTCTGGACCTCCCTCTGGGCCTCCTTCTGGGCCTCCCGGAGGAGCGCCCCGGGGTGGACAGTACGGTGGTGGCTACAGTCAACCCGGATATCCCCCTGCTCCCAGCTACGGTCAACCTCAGCAGGGCTACGGAGCTAACCCAGGCTATGGCCAGGGATACGGCCAACCCCCCTACCAGAGCCAGGGTCAGGCCCCAGCACCGGGATATGGCCAGCAATACGGTGGTGGATATGGTGCACCCTCTCCTCACCCCAACCAGCCTGGATATGGACAGTCCTCTGGAGCGCCACGAGGCTACTCCCCCTACCAGGCACCCCAGCCGCCCAGGTACTGATAGACCACGTTCGCTTGTCTTATGATATGGAATTGCAAGGCAGGGGCGCAAATGTGAACTCTCTTCTTATTCTTAATGATTGTTGTTTTCTTCAGACGTTAGCAAGCAGATTTTCGTAGGCAGGAGAACATGGCTGGCATGGCGGGCTAGGAGAAGGGCACGGATAGACCCAGTTACATGATTAGCTTATTTGTGAAGCAAAATTGAGCAATGGAATAATGATACTTCCGTGACCACTCTCATCTGACTCTCATCCATAATTGATTGACATGGGGTTGACATGGACCAGTGTCGCGATCTTCAAAATCTCCCTACCAACGACGTCATCCCTCAGCAGGCCCGCCCCGCAATTATCACGTGCACCCATCACGTTGCACGCTGAGTCAGCTGCATAGTACCCACCCATTCAGGCATCCAACCAACGTCGTTGAACGCCTTGCATATGACTTCCACAAGTACCGTATTTCTCCCTATGAAGCACAATAAACAATTGTCGAGTATCTATCCTAGCCCTTGGAAAACTCTCATATCCTCCCAAATAAGCAATGTAGTATCCATCTATCTATCTATCAATCCAATAATATACATCATCATCATCATCATGATCATCGTCCATCAGACGGCCATAATTTCCCCCATCTGTGCTGATATCAGCAAACAAGGAAGTTTGTATGATGAGACAGACAGACAGACAGAAATGCTACTAGGCAGCTTGTTCAAATGAAAGTTTCTTTATTTATTTATTGACCGTGGGTAGTGAGCGAGTGTTGTAGTGACAGTACTATTATTTAGTTACTGCGCGGTAATAACCTCCGCCGCCTGAGTGATGTGTGGGTGTTGTGTGCAGGGTGGCGCGAGATCCAAAGGAATGAATGAACCGTATGGATAGTCTCCCGTGGGTGGGGAGGACAGGAACAAGGAACATACCTATGTTTCGAGTTGTTGAGTAGTAAGTAGAACTAGGGGTGGGATGAAAATAGTAGTGTCCCCGTTGGAGAGGGAGGGGGTGGTTGTAGTCTCTTATTCGAGTTTTTAGATGTGGGTGACAGTTGTTACTGGTTGTTACGATGGGGTTGGTGCATGTCCTTTACTGGATGAATGCCTGGCTGGCTGGCTGGTGTGTGTGGAGGATCTGGGAGGTACTAAGTGGTGGTAGTGGTAGGTATATACGGACGTCTGGGGGAGTTGGGACCGTGGTTGGGTTTGAGTTTGGTTTGGTTGTCTATGGGTTTCTTCTTCGGTTCGGGTTATATGGAGGGATTGGGGAAGATGGGTTTTATAATCTTTGTAGATGGAATGAGATTGGATTTGGACGACGATCTAGCAACTTAGAACTTATATGAAGCAATTTGAACAAAATCAACGGTCGAAAGAAAGAAAAAATCATGCTTCAACAAGACACCTATGTCCCTTGGGTGCAGCTAAGAAAAAGCTGCGCAGTTCCATATCATCATCACACATCCCTTCACGAGTCGATATCCTCACTTCGGGGAAAGCGCGGAAGAAGAGAGCCGTGGCAAGTCGTAGTTCAATGCGAGCTAGATGAATTCCGAGACAAGCTTGTTGCGTGGGTTAGCGTCGATACATTAACATACTGTGTGATATGGTAAATACTCACTGCGAGATCCACCCCCAAAAGGTAATGACGCATCTTCCATCTCCTTGGTAGGTGAGTCCCATCGTTCCGGGTAGTATTTGAGCGGATTAGGGAAGAATCTCGGATCCCGATGCATACTATATGCTTGTGCAGATACCGTTGTCCCTCCAGGGATGTTGAATCCGGCCAGGTGAGATCCCTCTTCAGGGACGGTCCTCGGCAATGCTTCCGGAACAGCTGCGTATAGTCGCAATGTCTCCTTGATTACCTGATTCAAATAGGGTAAGCTGCGGGTATCTCGATCAGTGAAAGTCTCCGGAAGCTGCTCCATCAGCTCGGAAACAAGCTTATCGCGGATACGGCGGTCTCTGCAAACTGCATACGCAAGGTATGTCAGGGTTACGGCGGTTGTGTCGCTGCCGGCCCCGATAAATCCGCGAGCCTCGTTGCAGATTTCCTGTTCTGATAGGCCACCCTTGTCGCCTGCATTGATCACTTTGGTAAATAAGGTGTGTTTGGCATTTAACGGATCCTTAGCAATGAATGTTCTATGGCGTGCGACGGACTGTCGTGCATAATCATTCAATCTATAGCTTGCTTGTACCATTTTAGTAAAGATAGGCAGAGGAAGCATGGCGCCAGCTTTCATCAAGTACGGAAATGTTGTCCGCATAGGTGATATTGTGCTCAGTTGCTCCAGATCAATGCTATATTGAGTTTTCTAAACAATTAATGTCAGTCCGTACAATACTCCTAGCTGGAATCATATATTATACCTCTTCTTTCTCCAACATACGAAAGGATTCACCGAAGCTCAGTTCCCCAATGATATCCGTCGTCATGAATAGCCACCACTTGTACACGTCCAGCGAGCCTTTTTTTTTCAGTTCATGGGACATCTTATCAAGAGTGAGATAAATCATTTCCCGGATTCGGGGCTCTAAACGGGCCAAAGATGAATCTGAAAGTGGCGGCGCGAGCAGACGTCGACGGGAAGAATGAATAAGAGGGTCGGGGGTGGAGATAATGTTCTCGAGAAGGGGAGGAACGAGAAGTCTATACCAATTTGACTTATAAAAGCGACTGCTGGTTTTGTAGATTTCTCTTGCCGCACGAATATTGTATATATCAACTTCGTTGGGGGAAACACGGACGACAGGGCCTAGAGATTTGCGTTGATGTTGCACTTTGAAAGTATATGGCAGTAGTACAAGGACACCCACCATATTGTTTGTGAAGTTCATCTACATAACTTGCCCTCTTGCCAGCCAACCAATAGTAACTGACTTTCAAGCTGGTCCATTGGGAGAGATATGGCCCTGGAATATGTGTCAAGGGGTTTGTGGGCCCTTTGTAGAGATATCTCTAAACTGTGTTAGCATAAATCGTGGTTATATCATAGGTTATAGTCAGCCCACTAATAAGATAGAAATGGCGAGAACGCCGATTAAAGCAGGTATCATATTTGCGGAACTAAATAGGAAAGGGAATAGAAAGACTCCTGATGAACGTCATGTACTTTCAGTTCCGTGGGCGCTCAGTATAGCCGCATCCGGGGCATCGTGAAGAGGCGGGAAGGGGCACCGTTTGATATGGGAAAGATCAATGTAAGGGGGTTCAATGGACTTATTGTTGATTCAAGGAAGTAACAATTTTGGTTCTGATGAAGATGCCAAGTCTAAGGCAGCCATTTCCTTAATCCTAATTCCAAGCGTGGGGATGGCCAACGCCACTTCCCCTTTAAGGCGACGTACATGTCAACGGCGCTCAAACTGAGCAAGTTTCGCCAATGATCTCCAGGCCCAGGGACCCTCTTTTGATGTTAGCGGACATTCCATCAATGACATCAGCTCCGAAGCTGTCGAGTGTGAAAGTCTCATTTGAGTTCATGATGATATGCTTCATATTCTCAACTTCGTTTCGTTGGAAAATAAGGCCAGCTCTTATACTCTCTATGTCGACGTCGGATTTGCTCCTGATCAACTTTACGGAGGACACGAACACAGAACTCGATAGACTCCTGAATTTCTTTTTCGCAATCTTTCCATTCGTGTCAACTGTTCCTTGGATGACTAGATAGTGCAGACTTAGCTAAGAACCTCCCATAAAGGACCGGTCAGTCAGATAACTTGCTCGGCCGGAATTAATCAAAAGCTCGATTAAAGCTCTCCTCGCCCAGCTCATTGAGTATAGGACGGTCCTTGTGGGCCATTTGGCTATATGCACTGCTCACAACCAGCAAGAAGCGTGTGTACGCCTCGCGAACCTTTTTGGAGTGCCACTCCCCGGCAGCCCGCTCGCTGCACTGACCTTTCATAGACGCGCATATTGAAGCCGCCGCAGACAGAGCCCCAAGAAGAGCAAGGTGAACGCCAGATGAGAAGAGTGGGTCGATGAAGCATCCAGCGTCCCCGACTATGCGCACATTGGCAGCCGCGTAAGATGACGCATTGTACGACCAATCCGACGCAGATTTGACCTCGGAGACGAGCTCCGCATCTTGTACAAGGTCCATGATTCCAGGTGCTTCGTGCAAACAGCCCAGAAAATAGTCTTTGGTTGATGGCGTTCCTATTGCTTGCTTTCTAGCCTTGACAATGTTTTGGTGTCGAACAACGCCAACGGAGGTTGTTCCGTTGTGAAGGGGAATCACCCAAATCCAGCCAGATGCGTCTGCAGCATTTTAGTTAGTCTCATCTGGCTTCAGCTGGTCGCTGTGAAAAGCCGATATTGGTACCTTCAAGACAACTGAAGTAGGGGGACCCTTCCATAACAGTGCCTACTCCATACGTTGCAGCGTTCTCAAAATATCCCCAAGTGGCCAAGTTTTTCAGGCCTTCATTGTACCGTCGGTTTTTCAAATACTTCGTGCTCATTAAGCCGGCTCGCCCGCTTGCGTCCACCAGATATTTGAATCGGATTCTCCCAGAACTTTTGTCTGTTCGTGTCCAAGATGCAGACTCGGGGAAGTCAGCTTTGCTGGTTGCTGATGATTCAGTCGCTCGAACCTCCAAGGAAGTGACCTTCACGCCGTCAAATGTTTGACAACCGCACTTATCGGCATAATGAAACAATATTTTGTCTGCCTCGGATCGTATCACATTCCAAGTATAGTTTTTAGGGCCTCCGGCTTTGATAAAATTGGTATCTATTCGCCCTTTAACAATGGCCTTGTCGGGCATGATGTGATAACATACATCCTGGTGGCTTGCTGTTGAACTTGAATGTTCCTCCGTTCTGTACAATAAATTAATACTCGCCAGGCGGTGTCATCACACAATAGACTGACCTTTATTTCAAAACCATGGGCTTCGAACTCAGGCAAGACACCAATAAATTCCATGAAGTGCTTCAAAGATGGCACCATACTCTCACCAACGTGGTATCTATAATGAGTCAGTGGAAACATAGGCCTTGATTTTCAAGGGAAGGTGGCTTTTAGCTAGGTTTCAATCGACCTTGGGAAAACATCGGCTTCCAACAATACGGTATCAATTTCTTCTCTGGCAAGCACGGATGTAGTATATGATCCTCCTGGGCCACCGCCGACCACGAGAACTGTGCATTCCGCTGGTATAGACATAGTATTGGCTGCAAGGTCAAGTATATCAGCAGGGGTTAGGATACTAGAAGACTATGAGGCGTAGTGAGAATAAGCCGAATCTTAGTAAAGTAGAAACCGGTAACCAATCTCGTGGAGATAAGTTGAGGCATTATATCATGCAGCGATATGTGGTCTATTAGTATACTTCAACTTTGATTGAATTGCACTACCATGAGCGCTTTCTTTGGGACTTGGCCTTTTATTTCCTGCAAGGTAGATGTAAGGGCTACTAGTCTTTTAACACTTGTGTTAGGCATGAGTCATGGTATATTCCAAGACATTTCTCTACTTTACAAAGTTGCTGCTTGTAAAGGATCGGGGAACTATTCAATGGTATGGTTGTATGATTAATGATATTTATAGGTACTACATGTGTTGGTAAATAAGCCAAAGATACTAAATTGTTAATGTTGAAATTACGTAGTTGGAGATCCAGTGTCATATGATGTAGAACGTCAGTGTGGTTCTGTCGGACATTAATCTTAACTATGTAGTAGCTTGTAGTAGGTGTACTAGTAGTTAAGTTACTAGTCTTTGTAAAGGCTGTCTTATGGCAGAGTTAACTATATATACTTAGTACTATAGTACTACTTTGTGACCTCAACAGCTGCCAATAGGCTGATCTATGAATAATATGATATCATAGTTCTCTGGTTTCTTCAAAGAAAGATCTGTATTTAAAGCCAATGTCTTTGTCCATCTATTCTGTCTACGGGGTCTACTTTGTCGCGATTTGACATTTGATGATGCCTAGCATGTCCCCTATAGGTTTTCGGGAATGTAGATGCCATGCATTTGGTGCTACCTGAGATTCACGAGTTGCTATGAGGCACATCTACCCGCTAATAAGGAAGCGGTCTGGGGTGTTTTTGTACAACATGATGGACTTGTTGGGGGGTGGGGCAGAGGGGCTATCATTGTCTTCATCTGTCTGGTTCTCAATTTACGTACTTTCTTCTCTCACGTGCATGAATATGACGATGAGCGAATACTTTCAAATAATGTAAAAAGCCGAGGAGTTAATGTCCCGACTCGAAGCATTAGCGTAGTCGTTGTGTACTCCCTCACAAGTCATTCTTTCTATATTCCGAGGTCCCTGGGATGATACGGATGGAAGGGAAAGTGAATCAACCAATCAATCGAATCATATTCGCATGATTATCTCATGCATACGATTGTCATATCTATGATTTCAATACATCATATATATCAAACTTTTTTTTATCTCTCCTCACGTCCTCCCCGCGGAGTACTGACAAAAGTGGCTGGGCTGCAACACCGATCTACTTGCAGTACGTAGATGCAGGAAGACAAAACCATACACTGTTGAGAACATTCCATGAGGCAGATCTATCGAGTGACAGGTGCTCTAGCATTCCTCAAAAGTATATTGTGGCTACTTCTTCTTGATAATATTTTACTAGCTCTTTGATCGATACTGATGTAATCGAGAGCTCAACATACAAGTGCTATATACAAACTCCGACTTGATAGGCACTCTGAGTGGTTTCCATGTGCAAGTTGAGTAGAACCATAGTGTCACTCTGAGTATCGCATGTCATTTTTCCATACCCATAAATGAATACGATTATCACTCTCCAAGCGGTCCCACTGATGGTGAATATATTGATCATATAAGCATTACACTGGTCGCCTTGCATACCCAAGTCCGTGATAAACGGATTGATGGTCTGATAATTGAGGGAGCGCCTGAAGGCTGTGAGGTAGACTGATTAGCATTGAACCCCAGTAAGACTGTTGACAAGAGTGCCAACCAAAAACAGGAATTATTAGTTGATGGATCTATCGATATCATACCTGTCAGGATAGAACTGACAATCTTCACCACCATGACTGCGTATAAAGTTATTGGTAGTTACTACAGCAGGCAGCCAAATAAACATGGTGAGAGATACGAAGTAGATGGATAAGAATAGATAGGCTACCATCAATTAGAAAGCTAAAGGAAAGTGCCAGGCAATAAGATAAGCTGTGAGAGGCAGGCGGTCAGCAGTGGCAGGTCGGGACCCTGTCAAAGGAACTGCTTATCCATGGTTAGAGTGGATGTTGAATGGAAAAGAATTGGAAATGTGGCAAATCTGACTGCTTGACCGTTGAATCCACCACACACTTACGTACACTGGAGTAGTGCCAGTGGCGTGATAAGTAGGGAAAGCAATCAGATCAAAGCCCTGTCAATGGCGGGGATTAACCAAGTGTCTTAAGTGACAGGGGTTCTTCCGCCACTGAGAGGTTATTCCGAGAACACCACGGACAGTGTGCAGTGCGTCTGTATGTGAAGACAGGATGTTACAATAGTAATCATCCAATGCAATCCAAGACAAGACATACAAAGTCGAAGATCTGATCGCAATGTTACTTTTTGTGTAGGAGGTGATGAACCCTGGAAATCGACGAGGGGCAGTGCAGTCAGAAAAGGGCCCAAAAGAACTTGGAACGAGAGGATGGATGGTTTGCGTGGCCCCCAAGCCACGTTCAAAGCCGACGGCGACCGGTGAGTGGCCCGCCGCCAATTAAGGTGCCTCCGCAAATTCCCCATCGGGTTCCAGTTTTGGGTTCAGGCCTTCATTCGAGACTCCCTTTTTTGCCTTCTGGCTCGCCTTCTCGACGGCTCTTCTTCTTCTGGTTCTGGTTCTTGTTCCTCTCCCACTTGAAGTTAGTCCGGTTTCCCAAAAGAGCTTACCCTCTCCCTCTTCCTCTTCCTCTTCCTCTTTTTTTTCTGACGCTTCTATGCTCTACTCTGCTCTTGCATTTGCAGTCATTCTTTTCCCTGTTTGCATCCAACTAGTCTTCAATTAAAATTAAAATCCGGCTGCAGTCAAGTGGCGGCGGCTCTATTGTTATTTCGGCCGTCTTACCGCTTCCGGCTGCCTCATTTCGTATTCGCTGCAGCTGAACAAAACAGAGTCAGGACAGCTGAACTCACTTGGTTGGTCTCTTTTTCTCTTTTGCTCGCCGCCTGCGGAAAAAGATGTTTCTCTTGACGTCTTCCCATATCCTTGTCTCTTCTCAACTCTCCGCGTGGCCTTTTCCTTCCCCTCTTTACCCCCCCCCCCCCCCCCCCCCCCCCCCCCCCATCTCCCTCTCCACCCTCTTGTCCATTCTTGTTCCTTCTGTTAACTCGGTGGAACTCGCTCCCCACAGTCGTTTCCGCCTGTTTCACTTCCAGCCATCTGCCATCATCGTCTTGGCTTTCGCTCCGGTTCACCTCCCTATCGCTGTGACGAACCTTCTCCTTTTCCAGTCTACCTTTGCGCGAGTCGCTTGTACGATATCCATCGCCGGTTTGCTTTCGGGGGGCTCTCATATGCTGGCATAAACGAGTCCGTTGTCTTTGGCTGGTTTTTGGGGCTCGAAGAATGAGTCAGGCCTTTCGTCATACAGGAGATACGACTACGACCGATTCGCCCACTGATTATTTACCTTCTACCTCGAGATTGGAAGTGAATTGATAGAAACGCAAGGAGACGGATATTGTGGCATTCACATCACTGTGGACATTTGCGATCCCGCCATGTCCCAACATGATGATGTACCCGAGTCCAATCACGGTCCGCAGGAAAGCACGTCGGCGGAACATACAACCGGAGGAAATGGCGGCTCGACTCCAGTACCCCAACTGCCACGGAGCCAGTCCTTGGATATAAATCGTGCTCAAGGCGGTGCAGTCCCCGGCCGACCGTCCCTTTCTCCATCTCGAACCGTGTCGGATGCTGGCCGAAGATCATCGCAACATCATGTCCGTTTTTCGACCGACTTGGAGCGTCCGGCCCCGGAGCAAGTTCGAGGTTCGGACACCGACCGTCGGCCCGCGTCCAGAGGGTTAACAATCAACACAAATCTCGCTCAATTGCAGGTGCCTTCATCGGGCAGGTCCCCAGGACATAGCGCAACCTCGCCTTTGTCGCCCAATTCGACATTGTCCCCTCCCTCCCCACAAAGTCCGGAATCCGGTGGTCGTTCGAGATCGCGTCATCGTGGGTATTCGCTGCGACGGACGATCTTCGCAAAGAATATTGAGTCCGCTGTTACGTCTCCGAATACGATCGAGCTGGGTCAAGCCCATGCTGTTAGCCCACAGGAAGGCGCCTCTGCTGATGTTTCCGAGCGGAAATCGGAGGAGGTGCCGCGCCAGTCCACTGAAGATGAGAAGCAAGACGTTCTAGTAACGCAAAACTCCGCATCCGATCAAAACCTGGATCTGTCGACGACGTATTACTCAGAGTCTTCAGATAACCTCAAACACAGCAGGCACCTCTCCACAAGTGTCTCCTATGAGAAATGGCTCAAGCGGAGGGCTGTCGTTGCCACGCTGATGCTTCGTCTGGAGGACATGCTCGAGACGGCACGTAAAACCATCCTTCGTATCAAAGACATTCCGCCTAGCAAAGACGGTCGGCACATTGACCTTGACGCGACTCGCACCGAAGCCCTCGTCGATGAGAGAACCGGAAACCCCTATGTCGGAAACTCCATCCGTTCCAGTCGTTACAGCTTTTGGAGTTTCTTTCCCCGCCAACTGTTCGCGCAGTTTACGAAGCTGGCCAACTTCTATTTCCTTATTGTTGCGATCCTACAGATGATTCCTGGTCTGAGTACCACCGGTTCATTCACCACACTCGTGCCGCTGTTGATCTTCGTTGCTATTTCAATGGGCAAAGAAGGCTTCGATGATTGGCGTCGCTATCGCTTAGACAAGGAGGAAAATAACCGTTATGCATTTGTCCTTCGTCCCGGTGCAGGTATGCCTCCCCAGATGTGCGCTAGCGACAGCATGTCCGTTTCAAGCGAGTCTCAGGACTGGGTCCCAGTGAAGTGGAGAGATATCAAAGTTGGAGACGTCATCCGATTGGAGCGTGATCAGCCTGTACCGGCAGATATGGTCCTGCTTCATGCGGACGGGCCAAACGGTATCGCTTATATCGAAACCATGGCTCTGGACGGCGAGACCAATTTAAAGAATAAACAGCCTGCTCAGCCTATCGCAAAGGTGTGTGGGACAGTTGAGGGAATCTGTAGCAGCGCTTTGCATTTCGCCGTTGAGGACCCCAACATGGACCTTTACAAGTTCGACGGGAATGTGACCATCGCCGCGGAAGAAAAACTTCCATTGACCAACAATGAGATCGTGTACCGCGGTAGTATTTTGCGCAATACCGAATGTGCGTATGGCATGGTCATCTATACCGGCGAGGAGTGTAAGATTCGGATGAACGCAAACAAGAACCCTCGCATCAAGTCGCCCTCTCTCCAGGCCAAGGTCAACCGGGTTGTTATGCTGATCGTGCTCCTTGTCGTTTGCTTGTCGGTAGGATGCACTCTCGCTTACAAGTTTTGGTTCCATCAGCAAGTCGAGCCCAAGGCATGGTATCTCACTCAGGCGAGTGTAGCCATCGGGCCTATCTTCACCTCCTTCCTGATCATGTTCAATACGATGATTCCCATCTCGCTATACGTGAGTATGGAAATTGTCAAGGTGGCGCAGATGCTCCTGCTAAATTCCGACATCGACATGTATGACCCCGAGACTGACACTCCCATCGAAGCTCGCACATCCACCATCAACGAGGAATTGGGCCAAGTCAGCTATGTATTTTCGGATAAGACCGGTACCTTGACCAACAACTCAATGCGCTTCCGTAAGATGAGTGTTGCTGGCACTGCATGGTACCATGACTTTGATCTTGTCGAAGAGGCGGCCAAGGCCGGTGATCATACGAAGTTGATCCATAAGAAACGCCGCGCAAAAGGAAAGAAGGCGCTCAGCCGCAAGTCGAACGTTTCGGAGGCGCGGAGAGAGCCTCCCCGAACCTCAATGTCCATGACGAACGGCCTGGACGGACGTGGCGCCTCTATGCGCAACAACCGTACCACCGATATGATCAAGTATATTCAGCGCAAGCCTTACACCGTCTTTGCCCGCAAGGCCAAGATGTTCATCTTGGCCATGGCATTGTGTCACACTTGTATCCCGGAAGATGACGAATTTGGCAATGTCTCGTTCCAGGCAGCATCGCCCGATGAGTTGGCCTTGGTTATGGCGGCTCAGGAGCTTGGCTACCTCGTTCGCGACCGGCAGCCAAATACCCTTACCATTCGGACCTATCCCAACGGACCCGATGACAAGCCTTGTGATGAGGTGTATCAGATCATGGATGTTATCGAGTTCTCAAGCGCTCGTAAACGAATGTCGGTTGTGGTGCGGATGCCTGATCAACGCATTTGCGTGTTCTGCAAGGGCGCTGATAGCATTCTGATGAGATTGCTGAAACGTGCCGAGCTCGCGCAAGAGAAGGCCGTGGAGATTGAGAGGCGCGCCAGCAAACGCAAGGCAGCCGAGGCTGCCCAGGTCGTGAGGCGCAACAGCGAGTATCACAGTCGTAAGGATAGCGGGCTTCGGACCAGCTTTGGCCGGCCTAGCATGGCCCGTCGGCGATCAAGTATTACCGGCGATCACGTATCGGCTCTGAGAGAAAGCATCGACGTTTGGCTGCGCGACCGGGAGACCGATGGTGGAATCTTGACGCGAGGGGACGATCCTGAGTATTACAGTCCTCGCCCCTCTGCCCAATTGGGACGCGCTTCGAGCACATGGTCGGATTCTGGCAGCTCCATTCACGAAAATGAAGAGGAAGAGCTTGTGGAGGAGGCTTTGGTTGTAAACGAAGCTGCCGTGTTCGAGCGCTGCTTCCAGCATCTCAACGACTTTGCGACGGAGGGGTTGCGTACGCTCCTGTATGGGCATCGTTTCCTTGACGAAGCTGCCTACAACAACTGGAAGGCTGCCTATCACGAAGCCTCCACTAGCCTTGTTGACAGACAGGAGAAGATCGAACAGGTTGGTGAACAGATCGAGCAACAGCTCGAGTTGACTGGCGCAACGGCCATCGAAGACAAGCTGCAGAAGGGCGTTCCCGAGGCGATCGACAAGCTGCGCCGTGCGAACATTAAGATGTGGATGCTGACTGGCGACAAGCGAGAGACCGCCATCAACATCGGTCACTCCTGCCGTCTGGTAAAGGATTACTCGACCCTTGTCATTCTGGATCATGAGACTGGAGAGGTCGAGCAGTCAATTGTTAAATTGACAGCCGACATTACCAAGGGCGGCGTCGCTCATTCGGTTGTTGTAGTTGATGGGCAGACACTATCCATAATCGAGTCAGACCAAATCCTGGCGGCACAGTTTTTCAGGCTGGCCGTGCTAGTTGATTCGGTTATCTGCTGCCGTGCCAGTCCTAAGCAGAAAGCTTTCCTGGTCAAGTCGATCCGTCAACAAGTCAAGGGTAGCGTGACGCTGGCGATTGGTGATGGTGCGAACGATATTGCCATGATCCAGGAAGCTCACGTTGGCATCGGCATTACTGGTAAGGAGGGATTACAGGCGGCCCGAATCTCGGACTACTCGATTGCCCAGTTCAGGTTCTTGCTGAAGTTGCTCCTCGTCCACGGTCGGTGGAATTATATCCGGGCGTGTAAGTACACGCTCGGGACCTTCTGGAAGGAGATGCTGTTCTACCTGACGCAGGCTCTGTACCAGCGCTGGAACGGGTACACTGGCACCAGTATCTATGAGTCATGGAGTTTGAGTATGTTCAACACTCTCTTCACGTCTCTAGCCGTCATCTTCCTCGGCATCTTCACCAAAGACCTCTCTGCCTCCACCCTCCTAGCTGTCCCAGAGTTATATACCAAAGGGCAGCGCAACGGCGGGTTCAACATTCGGCTGTATCTAGGCTGGACGTTCATGGCTGCATGCGAGGCCATGATGATTTATTTCTGCATGTTTGGGCTGTTTGAAAATGTCATGTTCACGCACACAGGCAGCGACATCTTTTCAGCCGGTCTGCTCTCGTTCACGGCCTGTGTTATCGTCATCAACACCAAGCTACAGGCCCTCGAGGTGCACAACAAGACGTATCTGTGCTTAGTTGTGTGGATCATTTCCGTTGGTGGTTGGTTCTGTTGGAACTTGATCCTCGATCGCCGGTACAACCCCAGCTCTGGTGACGGGATCTACCATGTTCTGGGCAACTTTGTCTATGCATCGGGCCACGACCTCGCTTTTTGGGCAGCTTTGCTCGTCACCGTCATCGCAGTGATCGTGTTCGAAATGACCGTGAGTTCCGTCCGGGCGCTCTTTTTTCCCACGGACGTGGACGTCTTCCAGGAATACGAGCAGGACTTGGACATTCGAAGACGGTTTGAGGAAGCCGCAGCATCTGAGCTGCAACAAGGCTGGGATCACGGCAAGAAGAAATCCAGCTTTGAGCTGGCTCGCGAGGAAGAGATGGAGGTGCGCGAGCAACAGGTTCGGGAACTTCTTGCCCGGCCAAGAGTTATGGTGACCGGCACCAAGACAGGCTCTGGTCCCGTTGAGATGGAAGATGTTGAACTGGGCGGATACGGCACCAGCACTCCTCCAGAGGGTGAAGAGGTGCCCAAGACCCCGCGCCGGTCAGTCGAGGTTCATGAGTTGTTTACGAAGGGATTTGGAGCCATCCGAAAGGGGCATTTGAAGTGAATGATGATGGAAGAAAAACAAAAAGCAATTCTTCGTGTCTGTTTGTTGTATGAGTGCCTTCACTCCTTTGATTTGTGAGCGTTCAGGCGTTTAGAGTGGATACCCCGGATAAGTTCTAGTCACTCCTTCTCTGTTATTTTTCTGATCAGTGTGTATACTGGTTGTATATATGCATGGAAAGCAAATAGATTATGAACGTGGACAAACGCGCAACGTTTTGCATAGAGCAGTGAAACAAGATGAAAGAAAGAGTATTGTAAGAAGTAGGCTAAGCTTGACAGCTCCGGAGCACCCGGAAGCGAGGATGAGGGGCGCTCCAGTTTCCCCTGAGTGGATCCCCAATCTCCCCGGGTATATCGGATTTAGCACTCCGGGGGTGCATAGGTTGGGTTGGAATAGTAATGCAGTGGAGAGGGTTCATAAGCTGCATAGTTAATTGATCCTCCGACATACTAGTAACAGTTACTTGACTGATAGTTATGATGAAGTGACTAATGGTTGCTATGTTAGGGTGTGTTGTTTGGTGAGTATCCTTGTATGTGATTTAGTACTTGATATTCAGACAGAGAAGCCTACATTCCATGATTTAAGAGATGTTTATATAGTTGCCATAGGTCGATGGTTTAAGTATTAAGAGGGGTGAAGTGTAGGCATCTACATCAGCATATGCGGATGCTTTTATAATACTATAGGATTTTGCCGATTGTTGGTGATACCTAGATACTAGGGCACTTATCTATAATATCAATATCATCAATATCTAAATAAACAGTTCATGGCAAGAGATCTCACTAGATGTGATTTCTTCTCAACATTGTATGCCTATACATCAGGCCAGTCACGGATTAACCTACTAAGCTCCACGCACCTATTCACGTCCCGTGAGATGCCCTACGATGAATCACTCCCTACATGATAGTCAATTACAACACACTCATCAACATGGCAATTCCCTATTCCAAAGCCCTTGGTATCTCCCATTAATCCAATACCCTCACACTAGGAAACTACCATGCCATTCATCAAAAAGCATACGTACTACTATATAGCCACTAAGCATGCCTACCTTCCCTCTTACTCTGCGCTATACAACCCTCACCACCATCCCCATCTAATACATTTCAGTTAATATGTCCTCCCCAATGGACCTCTCCCACCCCCTACCAACCCCCTACCCCAAAAAATCCCTCTACGACCCTCCCATCCGCATCCTCGTCGACACCCGCATCCACCTCCTCCCAGGAAACACCAACGAAGACCGCAACACCTTCCTCATCAACCACATCTGCCATCTACACTGGCACACCGAATTCATCCCCTCCAAGCACCGCCGCTACGCCTTCAGCACGGAGCGTTACCCTATCGAGTCTACCCGCTGTCTGTTCCTTGTTGATTGCGGCCAGACCGCAAGCAAGGAGGAGGATGATGATGTTCCTGTGGTGTATTATAAGTGGACGGGGGAGTGTTTGTAAGATTGCCTACATACTACCCACTTTGATCTCTACTGGATGTATTATGTTGTGGTGATTATAGTTGAATACTAATTTGATACCGATGGATGAGTTAGGACTCCCCTACCCATCCTATCCTACGAAGCCTGGATCAAGAATAAACTCAAATACGTGTATCCGTTTACTCCTGCGCCGAACTGGCAGAATGGCGTTAATCGCGATCGAGAGCGAGAGATGCTTTTGTCCAAGGTGTTGTGGGCGAGTAGTAGTGGTGGGGCGACGGATGATGATTTGAGGGCTTTGAGGGATAATGAGGAGGATTGGGGCTGGTTGAGGGCCACTTTGGATCCGGATGTTTTTGGTGGGTTTTTGTATGAGGCGAGGAGGAGGATTTATTAGGGTTTTTGTGGTTGGTTTGGTTAGGTTGGGTGTGCTGGTATGTTTCTTGGGGTTACGTTTTGCTGGGTGTTGAGGACAAAGTTCAAGTTACTGGTGTGTAACTTAGTAAATGATAATAAAGCAGCAGGAAATCATAATGTTATTTGTTATATATCGGGTTTCGCTTTGAAGAGTATTTGCCAGGTAGAATACTAAAGGACGATACGATCGATTACTAGTACTAGATATATTGTCAAAGCACGTCGTCTCAGTTGGAAATAGAAGGGAGGTATAGCATTACTATAAATTACATGATAGTAGTCCGTGATTAAGTGTAAACATTGAATGAAGTTCTGCCGTCTTATCATAAATTGTCAAGCACGGGCCTGAGCTCTTGTTTCTCCCGTCACCACCACCGCCTCTTATCCCACAAAGACTTGTCAACATTGACTCCGGCAACTACAACTCTCCACTATTAAACAAATAACGATGGGGTATCATATATCCTTCAGCCTCCCTACATCTTGCCCAGCTTATATATGTTTCTGTCGTCAGTACTGAGAGCAGTAAGACTCACTCATGACCTTTGTCCAGTCCCCCATCAGAGGCTCTCACCCCGTATCCCCTGCTGGTACTTGGGTTACCCTTGCAGCTCGTACGCAGGAGGCCGCTTCTCTGTGGCTGGTAACTCTGCCGGCATATGTTGCTGACCATCCCAAAAGCTCTGTGAGTAAATTCGAGCCTTTCTACGTCGTCGCATGAAATAGTATGCGCCTAGAAGAATGCCTGCTAGAGCTGCAACACCAACACCGACTCCCACGCCGATACCAACAGTGTTTATATCAGATGATTGGCTTTCAGATTCCGGAGATGAAGAAACCGATGCGGAAACGGAAGCAGGTGACAAAGACGTGGTTGAAGTTTGACTTGCAGTGCCTGTTGCCGTGTTGGTTGCATCTGTCGTCGAAGTGCTTGCAGGACGGACATAAAAGTCTGGGCTCCAGGCTTGCCAACCGAACAAGGCAATCCCATCCGCACCAAGAAGAACGGATGCGTTGAAGAGCCCGATCTGATACTCTGGATCAGTCGTGTTGAACTCTTTCGGAATCGCCCAGCTGTATTCTTCCAGGGTACAGTTTGCGGTTTCGTTGACAACAAGTTGGTAGAGAGCACTTGTTTCGCTAAACTGGGCGCCAACTAAATAATCGCGCGTGTTAGTTTCTGTTAGGCGGACTTGTGAACCCCAAGCTACACACCAATAATCGGATCAACGATGTATCCTCCAGCCCGCCCTAAGGTGATGTTGAGTGGAGTTGCCCCATCGTCGATCGCTCCCCACTGCAGGTTGAGGGTGTCTCCGGGGTTGAATTCAGTTTCCGTGAAACCGTAGAATGTCCCCGACACGCAGTTCTCATACCCATAGGTGGACATTGTGAGAACCCACAGCGGGATGTTGATCAGGTCAAACACTGGATTGGGGCTTAGTCGGCATGGAGGAGGGAACCGGGAGAATACTCAGCTCATAAGACCTCCGGATCACCCCCCATGGGAGTAGAGGGGGATACTACTTCGAACTATTATCATCCAGGCTGGCACCGTATAAAGTTCGGTGGTCGACTAACGGGAATTTCCAGGCGGTTATTCTTATCGACGAATAAAACGCTCAAATTCGAGTAATGACCCCTGACCTGCGTGACGTGGGCTTCATATATGAAATCAGCCTTGCAAACCCAAACGAGGAAGGATTGCTGGCTTAATCGCACGGCCAATGCCCGTCTCTCTCTACATAGTACACGCCGTGAGCCCTAAAATTACTCCTGTGGCTAAAGGGCACATTAATTCTTTGTTGAGGACGATCCTTGCCGTGTCAAACAATGTGGTACGCTCGTTGCTGCGCCGTCCGGGCCAAGTTGGAGTCCGTTCTGCGACGGTCCGTTGCGTTAAGCGCCGGTTGGCTTAGATTGCGGTACACGGTGCGTTAGTGCCACTCTGCTAATATGTATCTTCTGCCATCCAATCATCAAATATACTTAGCGCCAGGATCCTCGTCCTGCTTTTGCTTATTATGGGCATAGCTCAGCCGCAGGCTACTGGGCTGGCCGAATTCACCTCAGCGCTGCGACAGCTTCATCATTCACACTGCGCCGTACCACCTACAATCCCATTGTCGGACAACACAAAACTACCTCAACGCATCCCAATTTCCAGCCAAGACATGACTCCTGGAGAGACTCATTGATACACAAATATGGCTGCGTTCCGAGCGCAACTCCGACGACGGAGCATGTTCATCACCCTTGGGCTGGTAGCCATCTTCGTCTGGACACTCGCATCTTGTCGGTCGCAGAACACCAAGAGATCTACCAGCCATGAGCAGTTCTGGGCCGATTTTCATCCTATGCTTGTGGCCTCCGAGCCATACGCCAATTCTCCGACGAGGATCAGGAATGCCGAATCTGTGGGCTTCGACCCAAAAAACACAGATCCGCTGCCCGACTTCCTTCGCCTTTCCAAAGAAGATGTATCAGCTCTGAGGATGGCGCACAGCAAATTCCTCGATATGTTATTGCAGAATCCACCGAGACTACACTACCAAGCGCACACTCGCGGTCTTGTCTCGACCGCTGGCGGCTCTTACCTCCCCGTCCTTGTTATCTCCCTGCGAATGCTTCGCCGGAGTGGTTCAACCCTTCCCATGGAAGTCTTCCTCGCCAGCTGGGATGAGTACGATGGCTATGTCTGCCAGATTGTTCTTCCTTCCCTCAACGCGCAATGTGTGGTTCTGTCCGAGATTCTTGACGCTGTTAGCGACAGCAAGTCCTCCATTGAAAAATACCAATACAAAGTCTTCGCGATGATGTTCTCCTCCTTCGAGGAGATTCTCTTCCTAGACGCAGATGCATTTGCTCTTGAGGACCCGGAAGTGTTATTCAGGACTGAACCCTTCATCTCAAAGGGTCTAGTCACTTGGCCGGACTTCTGGCGACCAACCACATCACCGCTATACTACGAGATTGTATCACAGGATGAAACGGCCGGGAAGAACAAAGAACAGCAACAAAATCCCGCTACAATTCGCCAATCCACCGAGTCCGGAGAATTGCTGCTCTCCAAACGAACACACACGCGCACCCTCCTCCTCGCCGCCTACTACAACTTCTACGGCCCCAGCCACTACTACCCTCTCCTTTCACAAGGCGCAGCCGGCGAAGGAGACAAGGAGACCTTCATCGCCGCAGCCATCGCCCTCAACGAGCCCTTCTACCAAGTCAGCGAGCCCATCCGCGCAGTGGGTAGAGGGACGCCCGATGGCTTCGCAGGGTCCACCATGGTCCAGTACAATCCAATAGAAGACTATGCGTTGACCAAAAAAGGCGAGTGGCGCGTCCGGGGCGCATCCGTACCACCCCCACATCCATTCTTTGTCCATGTCAACTTTCCCAAGTTCAATCCGGCTACCGTGTTTCATGATAACGGGCCGGTTGTGGATGAGAACGGGAGATATACGCGGGCGTGGACGGCGCCGGATGATGTGGTGGAGGCATTCGGGGGGAAGAAAACGGAGAAGGCGTATTGGAGGGAGATTTTGTGGACGGCATGTGCGCTGGAGGGTAAGAGTATTAGTTGGAAGGGGAGGGATGATATTTGTTCGAAGACGGCGGATTATTGGAGTTCGGTTTTTGAGGGGATGGAGGGGGTGGATCTTGCTTAGGGGTTTAATAGCATAGTAGTACCTACTGAGTACTAGTTGTCCATGAAGTCTTGTGCTGGTTGCAAGAGGTGAATGGGTTGTATATAACATGGGGATATGTTTAGGCTTTCTTTAATCGATTCTTAGAACGTCACTAATGTGGACTTGTCTCTTAATCGGTCTTGATTCACCAACTCTGACAAGTATATGTAGATGAGGTATCATAGATAGTGCTACTACTAGATACTAATACTGATACTTTTTCTACTATCTAATAGTATATATAAGTTTACAGCTACCTGTTTATCTCGATAAGAAAGTGAGACTTTTACTAGCTTGTTACAGTCAATCTTGCTGTCTATTTATGCTATGACTTAGCTTCTATCAAGACTACTAAGTGAGCTCATTGAATAGTTCACTGGACAGCTAGATTCTAGTATAGTAGTAATATATAAATTGCAACGGCATATGTTCTACATATAGTATATATGCGACACGAAGACATTCAGATGCTAGTATCATAATTAATTAGGAGCTACTATAAGCCAAGGCATTCTGGTCTAGCAGGCAAATATATGAATGCTCTATAGACAGTATGAGTAAAAGGAATTATTCATTTATATATTGGATCTTATAAGTTAATTGTAGTTCTATAGCTCCAACTGGATTTTATTCATTTGCCTATATTAATTTTTCTCGACTTGAAAATATAGTATATGATGTCCCGAATCATGGTATCGTAGTTTGGTAGAACATTCTCCTCAATTGAATACCTAGGGTACTAATTCCTACCTCAGCATGGCATGCTTTCATTTAACTCCCATTGCTCTGAGTGATAAATCATATGCAAAATTCGAGAACGATCATACCAAGTGTCTGCGAAATTGGACAATGTACCAATTGAAGTTTTTATTTAAGGTGATCTCGATAGTATATACTTACGTGTGTACCTGCCAGCTGACATTCCTTTAACCTACGTACTCAATAGACTACCCTATCATCCTATTAATATATAGCAAGATTGAGTAGTACCTTCATATTTCAATCACAACCGGTCCTTATTCATTACAATCCACTCTACTTATTCCAATTCCGTCTAGACCACTCATAGCTACGAAGTCCTTTTCATCCTTCAATTTCAGTAGCAGCAACAGCAGCAGCAGTCTAGTAGAAATTACTCTCTACGCGTACGTCATACCAGCCATGCACGTCAGGAATGGGCATGTCAGTAGTAAAAGCTACGAGTAGAGTAGATCTAAGCTTCAGCATTCCTCCGCCGTTACAGAATCCCATCAAACATCAATTGATCGACTCTATACCTACCTGACTCATCACCTTAAAATTGTCGGGCTGACATACCAGCGCAGCGAAATTATCCGCGCCAATCAAGGACAAGAATTGGAAGGTATCCGGATTTAGTAGTTAGTAGACGTTGTCGCATGCGGACATGAAACAACTTGATGGGAGGTTTGATAATTCCTGTCCCTTTCAACGCCCCCGTTTCTCCTCGTTTCCCCCCCGTTTCCTCCCCATCATATACGGGAGGAATGCGGGCTGGCCGTTAACGGAAAGGGGGAGAAAGGAAGGGAGGGAGGGAGGGGCCGAACCGAGGAGAATGGACAGTCAGGTCAGTCAGCGACTTCGGTCGGTCAGCTAGTCATTTAGTTAATTAGATAGTTAACTAGCTAGTCAGGTAGGTAAGTAATCATGAAGATGCCCGTGCGTGATGGGGGTGGTGAGCAAACAAGTAATTTTAAGCCTCTCTTTTTGTCTGCCCGTTTTGGAGAGGGGGAGACCACTAGGTTAGGTATGGGTCGGCGGCTGTTGGACTAACATGTCGCTTACTGGATTGGTAAGGGTAGAGTTGTGTGTGTGTGAGTATGCTCTGCGGGGCTCGGGGACTGAACGCTGAATGCTAGACTAGGGAATGAAAGACAGAGAGAGGATACTACTCCGTAGTCCCCGAGACATCATGGGAAGACAAAAACAACCACGCACACTTGCTCCGTGCTTTTAGGCAACAGATCCCGGGAAGCGAAAAGCAGCACTAGGGGAACTCGGGAGTGGGAGTGGGATGCGCTTTTCACGGCGCGCCGGATCCGACGAGGCCGGTTAGATAGGTAGACTGGATGCTATTCACGGGTGTACTTAAGTAGACACTATTGGAAACCAAATGGGGCAGATCTAGTCGGAGATCGTTAAAGGCTGACTGAGTGACGGAGTATTCCGTCGCCGGAGAAAGGAAAAAAAAGAAAAGAGGAGTCAGAGAGTCATGACCCTGCAGTGGAATTCGGTGCGAGGTATTTGGTCGTACGATGGATCCAAAAGTGATAAGCAAATGTGATGACCAAAGCGCATGCGCTGGGGGAGTTATTCGGTCGGAAATGTATCAACCACCCCCGGCACATCTGATGCAGCAACAGACATAACCACAGTACAGTATTTACTGTGTTGTGATGCAGGTCAGTGACTTGGCTGGCTACCTACCCCTATCAGTGGCTCTGGGAAGTACTTTAGTGTAGGATGGATGCTTGTTTAGCGTCGGCGGTAAGTCTCGACTCAGTCGGATACTTGCCTAATTGGGCAAGGCGTGGGCGTGCCTGGCTCTCGGACGGTCGGAAAACGGCACTCCATCGCCATTCGGCCTATCATTGCTGTGGCTGAGTTGGGTTGGACCAATGGCAAGGATGATATGCACGGATCATCCGCGGGTCCGTCCTGGTCTTTTCCCGGTCGGGTCTAGACGAGGTTGCACAACTGGCAGTAAGTAAGTAGTCTAGCACAAGCAGGTACCTCGCCCATTGTGAGGCAGGAGTCAGGTACGAGGGAAGTACGCTGTGTGTACCTGCATATACGGTATCCAGTCGATCAATGTGGTAAGATGGAAAAAAGAAATTATACTCCGTCTTCAACCTCCAGATGCATGCTTGTCTCTCTCTTTTACTTTTTTTATTCTCTCGGCTTTCACTATCCCCGGATTTGTTTTGCCCTACCGTATTAATAGCACCCGTTCATGTGTTCGTAGGAAGGTGCCAGCGATTAATTAATTTAATAAATTAATAGATTCGGCGATAGAATCCAGATGGAAGACTAGCCCCCGACTAACCGCCTCAGTAGTCTGTAGTCTGTACAAGTCAGCACGAGTGCCGAACAACGCTTCTCCACCCACCCCCCCTAGCGCTGTCATCCGCAGTGGTCCAATCAGGACTTATGTGATGGCGAGAGGGGCGGGTACCTGGACCGAATCACCAGGGATAATGGTGGAAGTGGTCGGCACGGGCGGAGTGCAGCGCCAAAGATCAGTGAGTGATTTGCGCTGAACGACAGAAATATGGGTAGAAAAGCGAGGGGGATCAAAGTAAATACGGAAGAAAATCGAGGCCAAAGGATATTAATAGAAACCCAGCACGTCGACAGCTCCGGGATTACGGTTGTACCTGAGAGGGTGTAAGAGTGGGAGGCCACTCATACGGCTGGCCAGAAAGGCAAAATGAGGTCAGTCACCTGCTGGAAGCGGTAAAGTCCCTGATCCTCTTTCTGTGGACAATGGCCGGAGAGGCCCGAACTGCCCTTACCCAAGTCTCCCACCAGCGCCAACCTCTTCCCACTCGCGCCCTGAATTGTGCGATTCGCCATCCATGGTTCCAATCCTGAAGCTGTTATGGGTAAAGCAATCAGTTAGTCAGGACTCAGAAGTGTCCCCTTTCCCACCCATGGTGATGCGGTGCCCGGTGACGGAACCACGGCCCTGGTTCTGCGGTTCGATTCAGGAACCGGGTCGAGTGGCAGGTCGCTTCTTGGGGTAGGTTTCTTGGCTCCGCCTCTTTTTTGTCCTCTTTTCTTTTTTCCCTTCCCTCTTCCCTTCTCTTGATTTTTTTCACTTCTTTTCGCTTTGCTTTCCGGTCCTGATTCGGCAAAATTATGAGGTCACTCCACCACCTGAAACCCTTTTGTAGCTTGTCAATCGTCGGGCGCTTATGCGATCCCGTCCGGGCTTTGGAACGGTCCAGGTCACGTTGTGTCTGGTTCGCTACCCCTGGTTGTATCCGTAGTCCGATCGCTCGGTGGGTTCGCCTGCACGATGTTTCTGGAGGCATGGAGGTAGACAATACATGACTTAGTTGCTGGTCCCTACATAATTGCATCTAGAAATGACTGGGATCGAGAGCATGGTAGCTATTTATGGCTATAGATGGTCGAAGGGGATGATGCTCCGATTCGGCTGGGTTGGTCGTTGCCTTGCTTAGGCACACGGTTCCGAGTTTCCTATGCTGGGTATCTTCTGCTGGAGCGGCGCAGAGTGACTGACTGGGGAGGGGGAAAGTACGAGCATAACCTAAACCATCCTGAGGTCGCAGTCTTCAACGTCCACATCCATGCAGAAAGGCACGGATGAGAATGCTTATTGGATGGCTGGAATCCCAAACAACAACGTCGGGCAGCAGGTGCAGATGCCGCGACTGGATGCAGGGGCTAAAACAAGGCGGTGGGTGTGGGTGGAGGGCGGTGGTGGTCTTGTAACATTCTGGTCCTGCTTCAAGCCATGTGAAATTCTGTAACAACCCAGATGTTTTATCCCCTCCGGATGGAGTAGTAGCAGCAGCATATCGTGACCATAACAATCTCATTTCGATCAACAATGTCTAGATCGTGGGAGAATAAATACTCAAAGGTTTTGGTTGATCCTGAGAGATGTGAATTAGAGGAAAGAGAAAAAGAGGATTGACTTTCAATGCCCCGAGTGAACTGAGCTACTGTGATTACTTACTCCTTGACTCACAACTACGACTACTGCTTGTTGGAGCTGCCTCGCCAAAAAAATTCTATACCAGGAAAAATAAATCGATCATTAATAATAAAAGAAACAAATAATCCGAAAAGGAAATAATAGGAAAAAGGAAAAGGGAATAAAAAGGGCAGAAAAAAATAAAAAGGAAAAAAGAGAGGCGGCCAGCCCCACGGAGAAAGTCAGGAACAGCCGGTGCCAAAACAGTCCAGCGCCAACTACTGAACCCGCTAACCACATTGGGCCCTCCCCCATCCCATCTCCTGACCGTCGCGCTCGCTCGCTTTCTCCTCTGCCTCCTCCACCCGTTTGTCTCTTCTTCTTCCCTTCTTCTTCTTTCCTCCCTTTCCCTTCCTTCCCACCGACCATCTTCGCATCTTTCTTTCCTTTCCCATTCACTCTTTTTTGTGTTTTTCACCCCTTCCATTCTTTCTTTCAACTACATTCGCTCGCTTCAGTCGATCGTTTCACTCTTTCACGATCTATTTCTCAATCTAGCTGTATCTTCGCTTACCTCAGGGCCGCCCATTGACGCAGACCTTCGCCATTACCAAACACCGGCCCCCCCTCCGAATCTGTACCGATCTACTTTTGATATCTCAATCTCACGTACAGCCTCCCCCATTACGGTTGCGAAGAGCAAGGATCATATTTCCCTTCCAAGCTGCCTAGGTCAGCTGTTTATATTATTCCCACGACATTTGATTGCCCTCTCATCCCGACGCTTCTGCGACGCGCTCATCTTCTCTCTTGCGCTTTGCTTCATCGGAACTCTCGACTTGTTTCCAGCCAAAGCGCTTCCATTCGTTTGACATTATCCGCATTCTCTGGCGCTTGACGCTGCTTCAGAGATCCGGAAACTCCCCTCCCCAATCCTCATTGACTGTCGGCCGGATCGTCACACCACCCATACTCCTTTTCCTTCCACGGAATCTCCTTTCTACGAACTTGGTCGTATCGCATTTCCTACCATTCAACTTCACTCAATCCCTGCAAACATGTCTTCGACAGACACTCCTGACCCTTCGACTACGTCGAACTCTTCCTCCAACACCGCTTCTACCATGACTTCGTCTTCGTCGACTACTTCGAGCCCGTCCCCGGCCATGTCCAACTCTACCACGGCCGCCTCCGCTTCGGCACGTCGACCTCAGCGGAAGAGCACGCTGACCCAGCAGCAGAAGAACAACAAGCGCCAACGGGCGACTCAGGATCAGCTGGTCACCCTCGAATTGGAATTCAACAAGAACCCGACTCCCACGGCAGCCACGCGCGAAAGAATCGCCCAAGAAATCAACATGACTGAGCGGTCCGTCCAGATCTGGTTCCAAAACAGGTTTGTGATCCTTACTATCATTTCCTTACCTGCTGCTAACCGAATTTGTAGACGCGCAAAAATAAAGATGCTTGCTAAGAAGAGCATCGAAACGGGTGAAGGCTGTGATTCTATTCCCGAGTCGATGCGCCAGTACCTGGCCATGCAATTCGACCCCACTAAGCCCGGTGCAAGGGACCCCTTTGGGCGCACGGGTGGATACGGAACCGGTGGTGTTTATCCCCATGAGTCGGCTCCTTCTGGCAAAGTTGGTACGTTTGAGTCCGCCATTGCTATTTTGTCACGAATACTGACGATCACAGTTATTCATCACTTCACCTGTCGTTCCTTGACTATCGGTAGCTGGCGACGTATCGGACAGAACGCGATGGATCTGGTGGTATTCTATTCCCCTGAGAAGGCTTGCATGACGTACTACATCAACAACGATTCTGCTGGATACAAGATCGAGTACCCGTTTGCCTACATCAAGAACATCACACTGGAGTCGGGCGACCAGACTCCTCAGGCAAACGGTGCGCCCCCGCGACCTGGCGGTCTTGTCGTTGAGCTGAACCGTCCCCCGCTGTTCTACATGGACTCCTCCAACTCTGGCGGATTCTACCAGTGTGGTGACTTCACCGAGGATCAGCAGGCAAGCCAAATCCTGGTCCACCATCTCGGGGGACATCCCAAGGTTCTCAGCGTGCAACTTGCCAAGCTAGTGTCCCTGGAGTCCTTCCAGAACCGCCTTGCGTACAACAACTTTGCCATGAACCCGCCCATGTCTCCTCCGTTTATCCAGCGTCCTGCATCGCAGCCGAATCAATTCGCTCCGGCCTTCTTGAGCGTGTTCCCCGAGAGCCATGCTCACCTGAACATTCCCGCGATGCGCGGACACAAGCGCCAGAGGAGTCGCTCAGTTCCGGTAGCTGTCGACTTCTCTGCCATGCAGGCTCCTCTTGCCCACTATAACATGCCCCAGACTCCGGCTCAGTTCAACCATGCGGATACGGGTATCTTTGCTCCCGTTCCCCAGTCGACTCATCCTTTGGCTGTCAACCTTCGGATAGATACCTCTGCCTCCTATGGGTTCGACCCGCGGACACACCCCATGTCTGCTACCACGACAGCTTCCCCATCAGACTTTGCCAGCCCTGGGCTTTTCAGCACTGGAGCCGGCGGTGACTCAACTCCTGTTGCTACCAACATGGGGACCCCCTTCAACCTTCCCTTCGTCTCGCCCGCTGTTGACTCAACCGTGGCGTCCCAAGCATCTTATTCTAACGTCAGTCATGCCGATCCTATGATTGCGAACCATTCTCCTCCATTGTCGAACATCTCGCACGCTCCCCAAGATATGTACGGTCTGGGTAACGAACATCAGCCAAACTACACGGATGATGGCATGTCCATGAACGGGATTTATTCCAAGCATAACATGAACTTCGCTGTTCCGGCTTCTATGGGTCTTGAGACCAACACATACGATCTACCCATGCAGCCCATGTCCGGCCATACATCCCCCGGGGTCCATGGCGATTTCCAGAGCCTGAGCCTGGAGAACGTTGATCCCAACGGCATGGCCCCTGGCTCCTGAAGCCAGAACATGCTATGACCCGTATTGACTTGGCTGTCTTCGGCCATCGGCCTAGCCATATCTCTATCTACCCTTGGGTAGCACCGCACATTGGCGCGGATCTTCAAATCTCCGCATCTTCAATGTTTCGAATTTTCCTGGCCACTGGTCTCGAGTACCTCCACTCGGGCTGATGAGATACCCAGACATCCGCGTGATGTATGGCCAATCGACGATGACGGGAGGATGTATCCTTTCTTGATTATGTTCTCAGCGTCTTCTGTATTAATAACCTTCTCCGGGGCTGGTCCTGAGCGTTCATTCGCATTTCTCATTTCCCAGCAGGCTAGCTGGGCTTTTCATCTTCTTCTCTGCCCTGACCATTTTTCTTTTCATTTTGTTTATACCTGGTCAGGGTTTAACGTGGTTATGCCAGAAAGTCAGACAGATGGCGACATTCGGTTATTTTCTTGGATTCTTCTGGGTTGGCGGGTTAGGAATCGTTTGCTCATTTCCCTTTGTGATGGTTATTTATCGTCCTGAGATTGGCGTCTGCATATTTTGCTTGAAGCAATCCTGTCATGTAGCACATTGATAATGGTGCCACTATCGAGGCGGAGCTGAGACAACCTCCGTCCGGATTGTGCGCACGGCTGATATGGAGACATTTCTCAGGTCCAACCTGAACCATGAAACACCCCCAACTGCCCCACGCGCTGCTCGTAGCGAATACATTCATAAAATAGTAGAGTGTCAATCTATCGACTCGCACATAGTAACAGTAGTATACAGGGGTATCGTATTTGAATCAACCAGATAAACCAACCAAAAACCATCTACTGACCCTCCCACCCCTTCGGCACCGGCGCCTTCAACCCCCTCGACTGCCTCAAATACTTCTCAACCCAAACCTCCATCTTCTCCAACAAATTCATCTCCCTGCCCCCCTCAGTCACACCATTCCGACACCAAACACTCCACGACCCCATCTCCACCGCCATCAACACATCCGTCCCCAACCGATCCCCCACCACCGCAATCTCATCCGCGCGACTCACCACCCCCCTTTCCCGGAACCACTCCAGCACCTCCCTCCCACAAAACGGCTTCTTCTCACTCCCCTCAGGAAGCCGAAACACGGGAATCCGCAGCTCCCCCAGCTCCTTCTCCAGCTCGCGCACCTCTGCATCATACCGCGGGTGACTCCCCGCGCGGTTCGAGACGATCAGGATCGAGTTATCTGCTGTGAAGGGGGACGTTGGGGAAGTGCGTAGCGCGTGCAGCTTTTTTAGGATTCCGGATGGGAACGAGGTGGTTTTCGGGTGGCACAGCGTGTTGTCTTTGTCGAGGACGAGGGCCCGGATGGCCGGGGGTTTTTGGGCGGTGGGGTGGACTGCTGGACCGAGGTTTTCGGGTAGGTGGGTGATTGTTGGGATGGTTAGGTGGGGGAGGAAGTTGGAGGGGGTTTTTAGGAGGGTTGAGACGGCTAGGTTGAAGGCGCGGAGGTTGCTGTTGGGGGGTTGCATGGTGGATTTGGGAAGAGGATTTGGGAGGAGGTGGTGGTGGTTGTGTTGTAGTAGGGTATGGTTGGAGTAGTGTGGTGGTTTGTAGATCTTAATGCATAGTAGATCTAGATCTATTGCTTGAGGGGTGGGAAGTGAGGAGGAATTGGTGCTCAATGTGTATCAGATTAATTGCTGGAATGGAAGCAATGGATAGATGATAGGAAGGATAAGATGGGAAGAAAGAAGACTAGTCTTGGCCGAGAAGTCTCCCGCACCGCAGAGCCGCAAAACTCTCCGCCGGCGGATCGCACGCGCCAGACACAAGACAACCTTCCCTTCCCTTGCCATTCTGTCTTCGTTTGACTGATTTAACACGCCTTTTAAGTAAAAGTCAGGCTTCTTTTTCAGCTTGCTTTATATTATCTTCTCCGAATTTCATTCTCTTTTCCTCCACGGCTTCGCTAGAATCCTCTCACATTCCGCAATGGGCAAGTTGACCAGCACGATCGGTATCCCGATCAAGCTTCTTAATGAGGCGCAGGTTGGTTCTATCCTTCCTTTTCTAAGCTATTGGCTTGTTATCTGTGTATTGCGATTAAGCTAACGCTGGGATGGTTTGTATAGGGCCACGTCGTCACACTTGAGATCACGTCCGGGGTTGTCTACCGTGGAAAACTCCTAGAGGGTGCGTTCACACCCCTCCTCCTCCTCTGCCTCCTTTACACCTATCCATCCTTTCCAATACAACAGTCCCAAATACAGCCATCACTAACTTCCTATGCTACAGCTGAGGACAACATGAACGTCCAACTGAAGGATATCACGGTCACCGCGCGCGACGGCCGCGTGTCACATCTTGATCAGGTGTACATTCGGGGAAGCCATGTGAAGTTTTTCATTGTGCCGGATATGCTTAGGTTCGCTACCACCATCTCTCCCTCTTACATGTTTATTGGGCATTGGGGTATGGGCAATGCTAACTCATATCGTATAGGAACGCTCCCATGTTCCGCTCACGAGGCCAGCGCGGTCGCGGTGTCGGTCTTGCTCGTGGTAAGGCCACGGTGCAGAGGGCGAGGGGACAGAGACGGGGTTAAAAAATACGATATGGATACTAGTGGATGGATGGATGGATGGTGCGGCGTTACTATTTTGTTCTATTCAAGTTGCTTTCTGTGTGTCTCCTTTTTCGTATCTATAAACTTGTCTTGTCTCGTATTGGCTTGGCTGTCTGGGTCGTCGGGTCTGATATCATATTAAATACATTGAGTTGATTGGGTTATTGCGCTTTTTGGGGGGCATTGATGGAGGGTGTGTGATTGTGGCAGTGCTACTGGGGTTTTCGTAGGGTGTTCCTTGGGAGGATTAGGGTGTAGTGATGAGACAGATACAGCTAGCTAGCTAGCTGATGTGATAGGTTAATATCAATACCAACGACACGAGCAAATTCGAATACATCATTACAACATTGTGAATAACCCAAAGCATAAATTGTATTGCAAGAGAACATGAAACATGGTAAGGAATATCAACACGAGATCAATCACTCCTAACCAAACCACCTCCGAGCTCACTCCGCCGCCCTCCCCGCACCCCGTCCAACTTTCTCTCTCCTCAACTCTTATCCCTTCACGAATAAATAGACAGCAACCCTTCACCACATACCCCACCTCAAACAAACCCTCCCAAACCAACGTCCGAAAATGCCACCCACGACATCCACATCAACATCAACCTCCAAACCAACCCCCATCCCCAACCCCCGCCGTCTCCTCATCCTCACACCAACCACACAATCCCAATCCATCATCCCACCTCTCCTACACTCCTTAACAGGCACCCCCGTCACCACTCCTCCAACAGCGCCAGCATCAGCGTCACCAACACCAACCCCGACCCTCTCCTCCGCCTCCACCATCGCCGCCTCATCCACCACTTCCCTCGCGTCCAGCACCACCATCACCACCACATTCGCCGGCTACACCACGCACCCGCCCCTCCACCTCTCAAACAAGTACTACACAGCCGACGTCCCAATCTGGGTAGACGAGATCCCTCTCCCAGTCCCTGATTCCTCCTCAGCCTCCACCCCCTCAGCATCCGGAAGCACCATCTCCCCCGCGCAATGGAAAGCCGAGTTCTCCAGCCCCGAAGCGCAAGTCGTGCGGGACGCTATCGGCGCCGTGATGATATGTTTCCGGAACCCCGTGCAGATGGACCCCGTACCCGGCCAGCAGGAATCACAGCAGGAAGATGATGTGGAAGATAGGGATGATGTGCGCGGGCTGAAGGAGTTCGTGAGGGCTGTGGGGGAAGTTAGGGCGTTGATTGAGGAGGAGAGGGGTGGGGTGGGGGAGGTGCCCGGGTTGGTTGTTTTGGTGGGGGAGAAGACGAAGACAGTAGCTTCTGGGAAGGTAGGTGGTGAGAGTGAGGATGAGGATGGGCTGGGGTTGGAGATTGATGAGGTGTTTTCGGAGGGGTGGTGGGAAGATCAGGTTTGTGAGATGGGGTTGATGGGCATGGAGGTTGTGAGGTGGGGTGGGAAGGAGGGGGAGGATGAGGATGAGAAGGGGAGGAATCGGTATGGTGGTATGTTTCTCTATTTTCTTTTTGCTTTGCGTTTGGGGGTTATGTGATGGGTAGTGACGGTGATGCTAACTTATGGGTGTAGAATTACAGGGCATGCGCCGGATTAAAGAGGTCTTGGAGACGCATGATTGGGCTGCGACGGAGGATGCAGAGACAGGGTTACTGAATGATGGGATTGATGATGATCTAGAGCGCGAGCTTCTGGGTTTGGATGATGCGGACAATGGGTTCGATTTGGAGGTGGATGAGCTGCAGCGCGAGATGGTTGGGTTGCGGATGGCGATTGAGCGGGGAGGAGGGGATGGATTTGATGATGATGACGATGAAGGGGATGAGGAGTTGCGCGTCGATGCGGTCGAGGCGCTGTTGCTTCGCATGAGAGCCATCAAGGGTAGTAATGGTTCCGTGTGTCTATAAGTGATGTTGGATGTTTGCTAACATGGTCATTAGATATCAGCGACGAGTTGCCCGAAGCGGAGAGGAAACGGTTTGCAGCAAAGGCCGTGCGTGATATCATGAGGGAGATGTAGCTGCCAAGTATATAGTGTACATTATATTGTGTATTATCGCTGAGCTTATATCCATCTATACCATAGTACCACTATGACCATACACATATACCCACTTCTAACCCTTCACACCTCTTATCTCCACCCCAATGTATCCAGTCAACACACCTATTTCTTGCTCATCGCCTTGCGTCTCTGCTTAATCATATGCGTATACAAAATATACGATCCTACCCAAATTAGCACATACCCTTGTAACAAAAGCACCCCCCCTCTCTCCCCAAGAAAGAAGAAAGATAAACTCACCAGGAACATAAATCCCCAACACCGCAATCAAAAACCACCTATAAAGCGGACTCACCAACTCCCCAGCCGGCCCCAACGCCTTATACACCATAAGACACTCACTAGAGATACCAAGAGGATAAAGCACATAGAAAGTGTTATACCTGTCCCCCCAAACCACAACATTAGCATCAACACCACCAACTCCATAAACAAAACAGACATAGAAAAGAGAAACTTACCTCA